ATGACAAATCTCGCAGGGCATGGATACCAATTACTTTTTTTTTTTTTTTGGCAAATATATTCATTAACAACAGGGACAGCAACCCCCCTTATTTATTTCTCTTCTGAGCAGTTTGTGTCTGGCAGGTATTAGACACGGAACAAATCATGTCGATCCCAATGAAATAACGCCCCAAGGATAAAAAACAAAGGAGATTCATAATCGCGTTATAGGGCACACTGACGGTTTTCGCAACCGCTAAACGAGGAGGCCTTGTCGACATGGAGGTCCTTCTTGCCGGGAATCACCCTCCAGCACCAGCCGCACCAACTCCGGGCGCAGCCTTTGATTTCAGATTCGAGCACACGACCACCGAAGCCCTTTTCATCGTCCCATTCGGGGACGCAGGCGCCGATCCGGACCATACGGACTAGCTTGCGCTTGACTCGGCCGCCAATCCCCTCAATCTCATGCCGCTCATAGCCAGGGCCCAGCTGGGGCGATGGGGTGCGTTCATGGCGCTCTTCTTCAATGAGCGCCCCGAGAGGCGTGGCTGGCCCAAACGGCGACCCCGCGGGACTATCAGACACACCCAGGGCGGGAGGCGAAGGCGTTGATGTTGTCGTCCACACTGGGGGCTCATTGACCCATGGGGCTGTGCCACTTTCACGAGCGTCCTGGGCATCGCAGTCGGTCTCTTGCTCGCGGTCTTTGGCGGCGAGACACTCTTCTCCTCGACCGCAAATGACGCCACGGTCACCGTCGCCAATGCCAGTGCCCAGCCCGCCAAGCACTTCTCCATACTGATTGCGCCAGCGCCATATACTAGGACGAGGCAGTCACGTTAACACGACTTCTTGTTGGACGCTGTGTCTGGATGATGGGCAGACGAACCTTCGGTATTCATGGTCAGCCGCTCGGATGCTTCTGCCACATGGCTGGCAGAGCCAGACACCCGCCTTTTCGCACTTGCAAAGGGATTGTTGCACAGCATCAGAGCCAAATGGCAACTCTGGGTCGAGGCGGGGGATCGCCAAGGCCGCAATCGGCGCCTTGATGCAGGTTCTGCACAGCCTACGATGTCTTTCACGGAGCGCGACTGGCGCAGGCGGTTTAATTGAACAGTTCTGGGCCACGGCCGTTAGCGTGATGCGGCAGGCTTGCTCCAAGCGGCAAGCTTTGCTGACGCAGGTAAGAGACCTACTCGGCAGATCACCTCGCCACATTTTCTACATTCATCTACCATGTCTCGAGCGCAGGTGCCCGACTTGCCGTTGTAGTTGCGGCCGTCTTCCATGTAATGCCAATTGCTGGCGCGGGCGCGGTAGCGAAGCAGCTCCTCGGGGTTCAGAGGGACTTGTTCATTGGTGCAGTGCAATGTCGACGTGACGAGCACATTGCGATACTGAATGAGGCCGTCGTGTACAGAACGACACGAGCGTGCCAGAGAGTCTAGTGTATTCAAATCGATGGACGAGACGATTGAGGAAATGATGCTACAACACAAGTAGACATAGAGCAGGTGTTAGCCAAGTCCTTGAGAGGGTTGGTGATGGAACGGCAATTGCTCTGCAGCTTGTCACGAGCCAGAGATCAACATACGGATAACACTGAAATGCCCTAGCAATTGATTCTGAACAATGCGACGTGGCAGCTGGCGCCGTTGCAAGCTGGCCACCTTTATTCTGTGGCTGGCTCTTCGCTTGCAACGTCTGTGTAATCAGATCTTCGGGCGGATGACTGGCGCCATCGTCACCCTCCTCTTCCAAATCAAAGAATCGCGCCATTGCATAGAATTATACCGATGGGTGCTGTTCAATGCCGATGAAAGACGATGAAGCAACGCGAGGAGAGGGCGTTTGTTGGGTCGGACAACCGAGACCTTGGCGAGACGGAAGGCAGCGCAAAGGGGGAAAAAGAAATGCGTTAAAGGATGATGGGCGATATTGACGGAGCCATTGCACTGGCCGACATGTACACCAACCCGACGATTATGAAATGGAGAGAATGAAAATGAGGACTTGACGTGGAAGGTTAACAATGGACGAAGCTCAAGGTGGATGATTTAGGCGCTGAGGAGCTGGTCTCGTGCCTCCTTTGGTCTCCACTAGGTGCGCCGAGAAGGGAGCACTAGTCATGGGCTTCAGGACACTGGCGCCATTGACGATCGGGGGCTGTATCTAATACTGTCTGGTCAATACGGAGTACATTGTCAACAGCAGTGAAGCAGCGTCGACAACGGACTACGACGGGCGAAGAGCCGGAGCCGATGCTCCCCCCGCATCGATTGGACCAGAACCGCAGTAATTGGTACTTGAGTCACCTAGTCGATATGCGCAATCCATGGCGGGGGCTGCGGAGGGGCGCGACGGAGGGAGCCGGCAAGCAAGGTGACGCTGGTTTTCAAACGCACTTGCCGACTTTGTCTCGCAGTAGCAGAGGCATAGCCCTCGCTCATTGCATCAAGAGGCTGGGCATGAGTCTGGTGTTCATCCAGTGCCTACTCACTGGCGATCCGAGTCCTTGCCCACCAAACGAGCTTCATTTTCAATTTGTATTGAATCAATCCTTGCGTCGTCTGCAAGCTGATGACGAGTCTGCAATAGCATCCACTTTGATGCTCCACTGTCGATCTCGCGTTCCATGGTCTCCCCCAAGGTAGGCAGGTAAGTTACAAGTTTTGACCAGTTGCTTCAATGTTGTATTTTGACTTCCGAGCTACACCCGCATTTTACGTACCAAGTGATGACACTCGCTACCTATATCCCCCCTGTATAACTGTATAAATTTGCTCTAGTTCTCTATGTCTATTTCACGATTCCATATTCTATGTTCTAAACGCTTGTATGCACGCAGAAATTGACTGAAAGCAGATCACCATTGCCGTACACTACCGGTAATCCCCAACTGCAGACCCAGCAGCTCTCACGACCAAACTATTCCGAAGAGCTTATATCCGATTTCATCCGCTCGCCCAACTTCGCCTTTCTTGGCAACCTGCTGCACAGATGATATGGTTAGCACCTTGCCATCTTGCCGCCTGCATTTCTCCTTGTCTTGGAATGCGACCTCGACAGTGTCGCTGATGCCGGCAAACTTTCCATTTGGTCTCACAGACACCATTAGCCAGAATACTCCATCGTCTGCGAGGAGCGAGCTGGCGCAATCTCGCAGCCAAAAAGCGTGTTCTGGGGCGTACGTCACGTCAGCTGCGATGAGCACGTCTGCTGGCACGTCGAGAGGTGCAACCCGTGACGGCGCAGACCAATCAAGATGACATGCCTGGATCGGTGCTGCCTCTGGCGTCTTGGACATGTGCGAGTTGATGTTGGCTTCCAGGTTTGACAATACAGTGGGATGATAGTCCGTTGCGATAATGGCTGGGCGAGCTTCCGTGATGTGTGGAATGAGTCTTGACAAGAACAAGCTGACAAGTCCAGTTCCTGCCCCAAGCTCAACAATTCGGCTAGTTGACGAGAGATTGATGTTGGTGAATCGAAAAAATTCTGGCTCCTTGGATATTTTCTCCGAGAGAGCGATGGATGCACCCCAGGTTTGAAGCCCGACATCCGTGTGGTCTTCTCCAGTTTGCATCGGGGTATCGTACAACTCAACATTGATACTTGCGAGTCTATCATTCTTGAATGAGAAGATAAACTCCCGGGTAATTCCAAGATCTTCATCATCAACTGCTTCATCCTCAACTTCGTGGCTTAGGAAGGCCAGGATTGAGCATGCCTCATCCACAAAACGTTCCGAGACGCTCTCATCCAGCGAGAGCTCGTAAGCACGGCCAATGAACCCTGTTAACCAACGCTTGGCAAAATTGCGCTCAAACTCGTCATATCTCAGGCAGTCGGGCGAATCCTTCTCGTCAGCATCCGCTTCTGAAGCATAACCGGAATCTGTGGCTATCAAGTGGCTCTTGCCGGCTGTCTGAAAGTCCAGTGACGTTGGCAACGGGTAATACAACCCATGCAAGTTGCGTAATGCGGCCCCAATCTGAGCGGCACTCAACACAGCCAACTCTCGCAAGGAGGGTAAACTCGTCGACGGAAGCGCCGGGATTCGGCCTTTGATGCCCATCGTCAAATGGCGACGTGATATTGAGTTTGTAGAAAAATCGGAGCGCAGCTTGGAATCCTGCACCCCATATGTAACCCGCCTCAATCCGGATCACAGCTAATGCTGTTGCTATTGCATAGACATGGCGACAGATAAGCGAAGCCCGTTGATATCTTTACCACTGCAGGGTGTAGAATGCACCACAAACGGTTTGCTTACAAGGCCACGTGGGCCAGGTCTTTATCTAGGAAAATTTTCGACGCCATCGTGGGGCCAAGGGTATGGCCGCTATGAGGGTTTCTGGGCCTGAGCTCAACATCCACTTTCTTAATTGCCGGTCTCCGAAAGCCATTTCATTTCCAGGCATTGCTTACGGAGTACAAATGGTAAGTGAGACCCGGCCTTCTCTGCACATAAAGTTGCGAAATTTGGCCTGCCTGACACATACAACGCGATGGGTTACGAGTTCTGGCAGTGAAATGTCGTGATGGCCTCAAAGCCTGCACATCTATCACAAACTCCTCCCGCTGTTTGGACATCCTACGTGGCTGGAATGCCTCGAAAGGCCGGCATGCTGCCTCTGTACCATTTCTCTATCACGAGGCCTGATGGTCTTGTGCGATGGCCGTATGATACGTATGGTAAAACACATGGCGTACCACATTAGAGTTGTCGACGGTCGTCAAAACCCTGGTCGTCCCCACCAGACAGCAAAATGTGTCCGTGTAAAAGTTTCTTCAGCTGGGCAATCGCGGCACCAGTCCAGCGCATTCTGTTGGGCAAATTAACGCCCTTGCAAACCGAGGTTGTGTGTCACCAGCTATTTATAACCGTACGGTTGATGAATTTCCACCTGCCTGGTCCAGTTCGAGCTGCAAATGCCAACCACATGATGGAAAGATGTTATATAGTGTGGAACGAGAATATTTACAGCTAGAAGACTGAGCAACTTGGCACTACGCCGGGCTCTGCGTGCGTTGGAATGGCTCCCGCAAAAGCTCATCCATCCGACTTGCAAGCAAAGCTTCATCCGCAAACTTTTCCGTAATCAACCCATCTCGCAACGCACATGCTTCCTCGCCCGAAGCAGTTCTCTGCTCCCCCACTGCTCGTGCTCCCCTGACCAAGTGCGACGTGCGCGGTTGGCGTTTCTCAGCATACGGCTTGAAGATAGCATCAGACAAACTCGGCCCGAGAGCCGCGACGGCCTTTTCGAAACGCGTTTCGACTGAAGCTAGGTCGGGCAAGGCTTGGCTTAAGTGGAAGCAGTCCTCCCTAGCAAAAGAAGGAAGATTAGCTAGGAGATCATGAATGCCGAGTAGCAACAATAGAAAAGAAACAAACTTGCAGTGCCTGGTTTGCACCCTGGCCAAGGTGCGGACTGGTTGGATGTGCGGCATCTCCTACCAAAACACATCTCTCGGAATACCACTGGCTTGGCTCCAACTCTTGGCGATCAAAAAGTCCAAATTTGATGACTCTCTCTGAGGCATTGATCATGTCCATGAGCACAGAGTTCCACCCTTCCAGCAACTTACAGAGCTGACTTTTCTGCTCTGGGAGTTCCTCTTGTCGATACGGCCGCCATGTCTCCGCTGCTTCGTTGGTCTCTCGTCGAGTTATCGCCCACGATATGTGCGTCTTGGAGATGGGGTAAGCAATGACATGAGTTCCGTCACCGTACCAATTGCGCATGGCTGCGGGAGTAAGTAGCGAATCGGGCACTTTGGAGATTCCGGCCGTCTATGGAATGTGAGTTTAGTTGAACAATGGCGAGAAAAAAGAGAGAGGGAGAGAGAAAGAAAACATGGTTACCTGTGTGAGGCCGGTATATGAAGGGAGCCCTTCCGCGATACCCTTGGACCGAAGGAGAGCCCTCCGGCTCGCAGATTTAATTCCATCGCAGCCAATGAGGAACGAAGCGGTGACCGCCCTTTCGTGATTGAAGTAGGCGGTTACAGAATCTTTCTTTTCTTCAATATCCAGCAGCTCCCAGCCCTCTCTCACCTCTATGTCGCGGTCGAGAAGCGTCTTTTTCAGCATCAAGTTGATGGAGGTACGCTTGATTCCAGCCAAAGGATGGCCGTACTTATCCTTGAAGGTGCTGGGCAGGTCTGAGGAACCGAGTAGTTTTCCGTCCGAAGTTGAGTCAATAAAGCGCTGAATAGGATAAGACTCGGCAGTAATATTGTCAGCGACCCCAACGAGTTCCAGAACTTTGAGGCTGTTGATTGCTTGTAAGTCTTGCTGCCGTTCGATGGGAAATGTATGTATATATTCGACTTACCCGTTGGACATGAGCATCAGTGACGCACCGGCATCCCCGAGTTCCGAAACTTTCTCAAAGACGATGGGATGGTAGCCTTTTTGTATGAGAAGGTTGCCGAGGACGGGACCTGCGACGCCGCATCCTATGATGAGCACGGTAGGTGCGGGAGACATCTTTTTTTTGTCCCTTTTGATGTTTCTGTTTCGGAACGACAACAAGTAGAGTTGGGTGTTACTTGATGCGAACGCGCCTTGGCGAGAACCGCGGTGCTCGGACTCGCGTGCCGCTTAAATACAGAATCTAATTTTGGATTCTTGCCGTCTTTGTGTCCCATTCGAGTCGCTGTTCCCGGCCGGCAAACCAGTCAGATCTCCGAGATTGGTGGCGTAAGCGACCTGGCTATGTATTTCTCCACCAGTCGTCCGGCCGAACCGCCCGCTTTGTGGAGGTTGTGGTCGGTGAAGGAGTCATCGAATGATCGGACTCGTTTGCGGGCTTTCCTCCGCACTTTGTTTTGTAGGCTCGAGGAATTGCTGCACTGTGGTGATGGCCATCCGTTGCTGTACCCTCTAACGGGCCGTGTGGTTTCATATGTCATGTTCAAGGCCGGTGGACTCATCCATGCGAAGCTATTATTTTCACCACGTCGACGGAAGAAAGGCGGTCTGAGTCAACAGGGATATTGGGACAAGATGACGCCGACGCGGAGTCGACTTTGGATATTCAGAACAAGACGCGGCTGCCACGATGGTTGTCGAGTTTGTCAATCGAGCCAAAGAGGATGACAAAAGAAGAAGAAGAAGCAATAGCGACGTGTTTCCTCAAAACATGGATGAGCAAATGGATATAGAGTCATAGACTTGGATTGACCCGGGATTGATCGCGGCTTTGCTGCTAGCCACGCCGAGACCTGCAACCCGCTAAACGAGCCTCCCTGGCTCAGGCAGCGATGTGGTGCCTATACATCTCTTGCAGGTAAGCCAACTCTTACTTTGAATCATAAGCGTGGCGAATCGACGGCGTTTTTGAAAGTACGCAGATCTGATGTGTCGAGAGTACTTGGCCCGGTCTGCCCCTTCTGCCCGGGCGTCCAGGGTAAGCGTGAGGACAATTGAAACAGTGCGGACGATAGCTTTGAGCCATTTCTATTTTGGATAGGGGAGAAGAAGGAGAAAATGAATCCTTTCCTACCATCTTGTGGTGTCAGGCACGGCGTGGATGCTTGGTGACGACTGACATGCGAGGTGCCGGTGCGCTCCTCCCAGCCACAAAAATGGCTAGAATATAAAGGAATTTTCCAGAATTCAACGACGGCGTCAGGTACAACACCACGGGTACGGAAAGCTCGGACGCGGACAGCATGCATGGTGACGTAGCGTTCTTGTATGCTTGCGCCTGGTGAGGGTGGCGGCTTCTTCTTCGACTTGTCGAGCATCTCGAGGCCTGCAGGCTGACATTGGACGCCGGATCTCACCGGAATCTAGGATTCATGTGAGCCTTGGGCTATTTCAAATTCTCTACATGCTCCCTTTGATTATCCAATTCATGGATCGGGATGTGTCTCTACTGTTCCAACGACTCTGCCAACATGGAGGCCTCCTACAAGTCGAGGTCTTATTTTGGTAAATGTTGTTTTTCCTTTACAATCCAAAGATATAGAATAGGAGAATATTGAGCCGGGGTATAATTATGCATAATACCTTGATTCAGGTATTCCCATGTCGAGTGAGTACTCCATATCGCAAGTTCGCAACATTCGCAGAGTAAAGCCGACTGGCCCTCTTAGCACGCTTCACTGACAAATATGGCTTCTGGCATCCTTTTCTTAGTCATGCCATGGAAAAACATGGCAAAGAATGATGGGTGGTGGCCTTGGAATGATTTTGTCATCTGTGCTTGGTAAGCACTTGGACGTAATTCGGGCCCGGAGTTAAGGCTTTTTTCTGCAAACCCGACATGATGGAGCATCAAGTCCAAGGGCAAAACGCACGGCCGCCGTGTGCATGAACCAAATCCATTGGCCTGGCCGGTGCGTATTGCTTGGCTGAAGGATTGGAGCGAGCCATGAGTCCATGACCATGTCAGCGAGGCAATGCCTCTTGCTTCCGTTGAATATTGCGCGGCTTTGCGTGACCTGCCGAATGCGGTGCCTCCAATGCACCTCATTGGCCCAGTTGCCAGGACTGCATCGGCAGTCACACGAAAGGCGCAATCGACCATGAGCATGAGCATGAGCATCATGCAACGAGACACCGGCAGCCGGGGACTCGGAGGGTAGCATCATCGGCATATAAATAAGGTTCAGCCCTCTCATCATTGGAATGCAACTATCCAAGCAAATCCCTTCTTTTACCATTACCCCCTGCAAACACACCCATCATGAAGTTCCATACTCTCCTCGCCTTGTCCTCGACGTATCTGGCCTCGCATGCCGCCAGCTCTGCACTGCCAAGAACAGAACAAGCATCGTGCTCAAGCGAGAGCAGCAGCAGCAGCAGCAATGCTCGTGTCATTCATCAATTTCCAAACGGAACCTGGCTGGAGAACATTGCCGAGCGCCGCAACGGCAACCTGCTCCTTACCTTGCTCGACCGCCCGGAACTGTATCAGATTGATCCTCGCAACCCGGCCAACGCGACGCTGGTGCATCACTTTGCAGGCTACACCAGTCTTTTTGGAATCGCCGAGACGTCCCCTGACGTATTTGCCATCATTGCCGGAAACTTTACCCCCGGCATCGGAACCCAGGAAGGCAGCTACGCCATCTGGAGCGCCGACTTTGCCGGCTGTAAAGGCGCCGAGGTGTCCAAGATTGTGAATGTCCCTGAGGGCAAGCTTCTCAATGGCATGACCACTCTCAACGCGAACACTGGCGAGGTTCTTGTGAGCGACAGCGGCCGCGGCCTTGTGCTCCGCGTGGACACAAAGTCCCGCAAGTACACCCGGGTGCTGGAAAATGACGTCTTCCAGCCCGCGCCAACCGCCCCTATTCAACTCGGCATCAACGGCATCAGGCTTCTCGGGGACCACTTGTACTACACCAATACGTATGCCTCCGTGTACGGACGGGTGGCCATCAACCCCGAGACGGGCGAGGCGGCCGGGCCATTTGAGACGATCAGCACGGGTGTCAAGGGCGACGATTTCGTCCTCGACAACCAGGGCAATGCGTATATCGCTGCGAACCCTGAGAATGACGTCGTGAGGGTTGACCGGGAAGGCGTCACCAAGGTTCTTGCTGGCCATCTCAACTCGACTCTTGTCCCGGGTCCCACTGCTGCCTGGCTTGGAAAAGCCCCGGGCCGCGATGGCAAGCGAGCCTTGTATGTGGCGACCTCGGGTGGCCGGGCTGGGCCGATCAATGGGACATACACGGAGGGTGGTAAGCTTCTGGTTCTGGAGGTGTAGCTTGGCCTGGCTGGTCTTGCTGTGAGGGAGTAGTACGCAACTGGACTATGGAGGGTGTGGAAGCATAGATTTTGGGTAGATACATTACATTCGTGTTTGAGACTTTATAGATTCGTATAAAATTGTTTGCATATAATGTCTTTTTTGGCCCTGACTTTGTGCGTGGAGACCTTGTTCAAGATGTAGTAGAATACATGTGCAGCAGCTGTGCGTCTTTTTACCTTCAGACTATGAAGCATATCCGGCGATTGAAATCCCAGCTGAATTTCAAATGGAGGAGGATGCCTGTCGGAGAAGCAGGATTTATAAACAACGACATTAACTTGACTTACTTTAGAATTTTTGCGCTGGCGTCTGAAAGTGACGACGTTAGGAGGTTGGTTGTGTGCCAGCGTAGTAGCTGTGGTCAGGTATTTTCAATTTCACGTTGCAAATTCCAGTAATAATACAGTAAAGAAAGAGTTCCACCATGACTATATCAAGTACCCAATGCGCTATAACATCTTCCCACATGAGGCTGAATAGTAGAGGTCTGGTCGCCTAACCTGTGCTTCTTTGACGCCAGGTGTTGTTCACTGGGCGCTACGGAATAAACCCCGTACTATATTTCTTTGATAGTACCAAATTATTCACATGCTCTCGTTATCATGCTATAAGTAATTAGATAAGGGGCTAACAGTACGTTATAAAAGCGACTACAGTAAATAGAACGTGCCACGGTTACGCGAGGACTCCAATGACGAGACCTGGGTACTAGACTCTCGCTGTTTCTTGTATAAAAAAACTCTTTACTTATTCAGCCCTCGAGGAAAACGCAGGACTTTTAATGCCAAAGACTGTCATGAGATGCATTGAGCTGTTCACTCCACGCCCTCTCTGACCCCTTGCCACAGAACTAGATAGATATATATTCTAATACCGAAATAACATATTGCCCCAACACGCAACAAGCAGACGCATCAGCGAAGAAGCTTTTCGACATCAGAAGTAATGTCGTAAAGTGGGAACTCGGTCCTGTTCCCGGAAAGCGTGCCAGGAACCTTGTTAGCCGCATCGCCAAACCACTCAGTCGAAACAAAGATGCGACCTTCAATCTGCACCGAGGCCGTCGTGGAACCCCCCTGGCCCTCAAACTTGTTCGGCACAACACCCAGCCGCTCCGCAGACGTCCATTTGCCGTCCTCGGAGCGAAGCACCACCGTCCCCTCCAACTGCGACGACACGAGGAGCACCTTGCCCTCGAACTTTGACGGCAAGTAGATGCCATCGGGCCTCTCGCCGATGCCGTTCTCTCCGACGTCCACGACGGCAGGAACGCCCTTGTCCGCCTTCATATCGAAGCGCAAAAGTCTACTGCCCGTGTGCTCCGTGGCGAGCAGAATATCCCCCTTGGACGCCAGCCCCGTGAGCCCCTTCTTGGTGTGGTCCTTGTCGTTGGTGAGGTACCACGCCGCCGCGTCCTTGCCGTCCTTGCTCACGCGGACGATGCTGCTGGGCCATGTGCCCACGGCAAAGGCGTTTCCGCAGGCGTCGTGCTCAATGTCCTGGTAGCCGCTGTAGACGCCGTCGGTGACGGCGGTCAGGTTTGCCCGCCAGAGCTCCTGCCCGCGCGCGAGGTCGTACTTGACGAGGAAGTTGTCGCCCGAGATGTTTGCGCCGCGGGTGTCAAAGGCGGCGCCGGCGTTGACAATGACGGACAGGCGGCCGAGGGGGTCGACCTGGACGCCGCTGGCGTGGAGGACCGGGTCGTACGAGAGCTTGTCGAAGGCGATTGTCTTTGTGACTTTGTTGGTGAAGGGGTCGTATACGGCGACTGTGGAGTTGTACAGGACGCTGGTTGGATATTTGTATTAGCCAACTGTGCGGTACTCTTTTTATATGGATTTTGCGTTTTTTTCAGGGTTTTGGAAATTTTAGAAGTGAAATGTACCTGATGTACGCAAGATGGGTTCTGGTATCGTAGTCGATATTCTCGGGGTATAATTGGTACGAGTTGATGACTAGTTCTTTGCTGAGTTTGGGGGAGGTTTGGAAAGGGCCGGCTTGGGCGACGCCCGCGGCGAAAAGTGGTACGAGGGCAAATAACATTTTTGTTTCCTCTATGTTATTCGACGAACTGGGAGGAAATGCGGTTATATTTAGCCCGTTCGAGTTGTGGCTTGCTGAGAGACTGCTGTTGCTAGCTGTCGAGATGGAGATGGAGATGGTGCAGAATGAAATGAAATGTCCGACGCTGTAGAATAAATATATAGTTCTACTTTGTAATAGTAGCAGAGGTTTGATTGCGCCGAGAGTTGTGAATCTGCTATTATAAGCCCGAGTGGGATCTCGGGTGTAGCAAGGCTTACCTAGTTCGCAAACCCGATCCGATGCCAACGCAACTAGCCAAGTCCTTGTTGCTTGTAGAACCCAAGTTTACATTTGTAATCGCAGCAGAATAAATTCCCGCCAACGCATGCCTCTTGAAATTAGTCTTTGCCAAGTTTTATGCTGCCATCATGTGAAGTCGCGGCAAGTTTTCCCGGCACACTGGGATGAGAGACTTACAAGCAACCAACGGAGATGGACTCTCATACATGTGCCCAAGATTGTAGAATAGAGAGAGGTATTTACGAGTAAGCGGCAACATCAGTCGTCATGACTCTGGTTCAGCCTTGGCCCTTGGCCCTGAAACCTGCGTGCTCATTAAAGGAGCAGGAGGGCGTCGTAAAGCTCACCCGTGACAAGACCTTTCGGGGCTAAGCAACCAAGTTAGTTACCAACCCCTTATACGTAATTCCGGTGGGTGGACCACGGTTTGTCGGCAGTTGGTTGGGGGTTGCTAGAGCCCAAGTCATTCGCGCATGACGTCGATTTAAGCACAAGATGCTCATCATCCCCCACAACGCCGCGCCGATCAATCTGCAAGCGTCAGCTTGTCCTTATCCATCGACCGCGCGGCCCCGTTTGTACTGCCCAGTCTGTTTTACAATCAACTAATAGCCTAGACTAGACTACGGCAATCGGTCGGGGCTTGAACGTGGGATTGTGGTTTGAAGGAGAGCAATTGCAAAGTATATTGGATTGTATACATTAATTAGATAATACTATCTTGCCTGAAAAAAAAAAAAAAAAAAAAGATATGTGCTCTGAAGAGTTGAGAGGAGCAAAGCGCAAAAAGAAGCGCGAGTGAGGACATCCCCACCACTATCCATTAGTCCGTGCCCGGATTTGAACCAGGGATCTACAGATTTGCAATCTGCCATCATAACCACTAGACCACACGGACGAAGGTAGCTGGTACGCTGTGATCGACGCCCATTTAATACAACTTATAAGGACAGTAGCAATTGCGCGACAAGTGCAGGAACACGAGTTACAGGATGTTTACTTGCACAACAAGGGCCAGCGGCCAAGTGAAATATTATTTTGATAAATTTTTAACTAAAGAATCATTTAGATGGGGGGTTCGTGAGTCACGACTTGACGTCATCGGGAGCTTTTCGCTCGACCAGCTCGCTAGCAGCTTTACAGATTCAATCCGCCACGTAATTCCAGACACTAAACCCGAGTCAGAAGCTTTTTTTCATGATAGGTTTTCGTCTTTTATTCAACCATCGCGGCCGCTTTCTAGTATCAACTTGTGGATGAGTTTGTTTGCTCTTTGACGATTGAACGACCTCACAAGAGCGCTTGCACCGTGACTTGTCCAAAATGACAAGTGCTCCCTTAGCAAAACCTCGAGTGTGCATCTTATTGCGCGTACTTGTTTACAGAAATCATCACGAGATACTACAACTTCTGCAGTTCTTATCATTTTTATCAACGCTGCTACAAGCTCGCCTGTTCATCTCGACATTGTTTCAGCGCGTTTGCCTCTTGAACCACATCATGACTCATTACTTGAGAAACAGCTTCGCTGGCCTCAGGTGTCCCCTCTGCTCCCCTCAAATGACGACGCGACGGCATGTGCTGAGCAGTTTATGAATGCGCAAAATAAAAATTCGCCGTGCCGGTCTGCTCGACGATGCAGTATTTCATGTCAACCTGACTGCGCGTCTTTCAGGACGCCTTCAGCGGTTGGGACCATGAAGGTTCTGTGTGAGCTTTGTGACGTCAACGTCATTTCGCGTTGGAGACGCAAGTCTGTGAACGAGCTCCAGTAAACCTTTGGTTCGAAGAAGAAAAAACACTCATAGCACGGCTCGCAGTAACCCTGGCAAAATAGTTGGCTTCTACCGCGGCAAAATGATTTTTTTGTTTCGCAGACGGGAGGGGATACTCAATTCATGAGTTTACTTCATCTGACGGTCCTGCAAGGTGGCCACGCAAACCGTCCGGTGTACGGAGTAGTGGAAGGGACTTGGCGTGCATCCCCGCCCTCTTTCGCTGGACTTGATTGACCAGACTCCTCCTGGAAATGTGCAGTCCAGTGAGTCTCCTACAGAAAAACTTGCAAGTGGCCGGTAAAAGAGAACTGAGATACGTAACCGTCGTAGAGAAATTGACGTGCCAAGTCATAATGCATAATAGAGCCCCTCATGACATAATCAAGTAGTCCGTATGGTCTAGTGGTTAGGATGGCAGATTGCAAATCTGTAGATCCCTGGTTCAAATCCGGGTACGGACTGATTATTTTTTTGCCTTTCCTGCCACCAACTCTAATTGGCCCTCTGCCAGCACCCCGAGGATCCGTTACGTTAAAGCACGGCAATATTTAGATAGGCTGGACGAACTCTAATAGGACGAGCGGCTCACCTGGTGAAGCCCAACTTTTTATCCGGATTCCCAGCGTGTCTAAGAGTAGATATTTCCTGGTTTAGTACTTGGAAATAAACCTGAATAATACAGGCCCAAGCGAGAAACTTGAAAGCACAATATCTACCGAGTGACAGATTATTGTGCAGCGAAACCTGAGTGTAGCGGTGATCGACGTTGGTAACCCAAAGTAGTTGCCATTAAACAGAAATTAGTCACAGATGCTGCCGAGATTGGGTTTTCAATAAGGCTACATCTCTGTGGAAACAGACCGAATACGATGATATTAAGAGAAACGACCAGATATTGTAAGGACCATGCATATTTTCGACTTCGGTAATGTGACAGTAGGCTGGCTGAGTCCAAGGGAGAAGAACAGAAAGGGAGTCTGAGCAAGATCTGCATATAGCAACTGCGTAATTTCTGTTTAGTAACCTAGGCGAAACAAAAAAGCATTCATTACATGCATTAAACGGAGGCTGTGGCATATAAGTTACTTTGCAGCCCTCCCTCATCCAACTATGCCTCTATTGCGTCTTGTATTTAAGTATCACATCACGACTCTTGATCTACACGAATTAGTAATAATGCAGACCAAAGCCTCGCGTGGTTTCACTGTTTGCACGCTTCTTCCTCTTGCCAGCCACGTCGTCTAATAGCCATGCATTGTTCCAGCCCCTGTCGACGGGCTCCCGAACGTGGTTGGTCGAGTCTGCTGTGATGTGACACTTTGCAGATGCAGCAGTCGATGGAATAGGAACTACGGCATAACTACATGTCAATAGTAGCTGCGGGGAGCTTCTTTGGCGGCCTCCGCTCAATAAAGTTCCCTGATCAAGATACACCCGCTGCCACTCTGATGCCTCCAGTCGACATAGACTTCCCATCCACAATGGTGAGATTATTAGCCTGTTCTCTCAGCCTGGTGGCAGCAATACATGCGCTTCCGAACGTCCTCTTCAAAGACGTTGTGATTATTGGCGGTGGTGCTTCAGGCTCCTATGCCGCGGTCCGCCTTCGTGAAGACTTTGGAAAGTCCATTACCCTGGTTGAGAAGGACGAAATCCTCGTACGTCTTCACTGGTCCTATGTACGTGGGAGTGTTGGAGGCTCATTCCCAGCAGGGCGGTCACGTTGACTCGTACGTCGACACCAAGACGGGCACGCCGTACGACTTTGGCGTCAAGGCATTTATCCAGGCGGGCAACGCGACGGGTTTCTTTGATCGGCTGGGCGTCCCACGCGGCCGCAGTTCCAAGACCCCCGTCAACACGACGTACATTGATTTCAAGAGCGGCAAGGTGCTGGACTTTGCGCCGCCCCCGTCCGCCGCCCAGCTCGACGCCTTGGCCGACTTTCTGCGCGTCGTCGAGCCGTGGGAGCATCTCTTGCAGCCGGGCTATTTCGACTTTCCGGAGCCAAGCCATATTCCTGGAGATCTTCTCGTCCCCTTTGGCGACTTTGTGTCGAGGCATGGGCTTGAGCGTGCCATGCCATTCATATACCAGACCACGGGTCTTGGGGTCGGCAACATGACCAAGGCAATTACACTGTTCGCGCTGCAGGCATTCGGTGCGTCCATGGCCCGGTCGGCTCTTGGGCTGCAAGACTCCTTTGTGCCAGCTTCAGGGCGGAATCAGGATCTATACGACGCCGTGGCCGCCGTCCTCGGCAGCGATGTCTTGTACGCCAGCAAAGTGGTCAACACTATCCGCACCAACCTCGGCGTCATTATCACAGTCAGGCACTTGAAGTCCGGGAGGCTCACCTACGTTGCTGCCAAGGCTCTCTTGATTGCTATTGAACCGACAGGGGATAACACGGGGCCGTTTAGTCTGGACCTCGATGAGAAGCACATTCTCTCCAGGTTCACTTACACGCGCGAGTACACGGGCATCATTGACAATACCGCCCTCGCTGCACACGCAAGCTACTTCAACCTTCCCTTTGATGCAGCGCCAAACAACTACCTTTCGTACCCTGAGCCGCCGTTCACTGCCCGCATCGACTACATGGGTTCGGGGCACTACTTCCGCGTGACTGTCATTGGCGACGACAAGCTTGACGACAAAGGTGCGAAGGCGTTGGTGGACAAGGACTTTGCGACTCTTGTCAATGCTCATGTGCTCCGGGGTTCTGCTGCCGAAAAAGTCCACTGGGTGGCCTTTTCTACTCACGGACCGATGCATGCAAGAGTGTCAGTCGGGGATGTCCGGCGAGGCTTCTTCCAGAAACTGTACGCGTTGCAGGGGAGACGGTCGACTTGGTGGACTGGCGGCGCGTGGTCGGTCAATTTCCAGTCGGCGCTGTGGCAGTACGACGACATCATCGTGCCCATGATGCTTCGGGGGTAGACGGCGGCGTGTGGATTGTCCCCAAGTCGTGTCCCACTACGACTTTTTGTGTTCATGTAAATAGCTAGACTGCTTCCAAGACACTCCGAGTCCAACTTGAACTGGCATCAAAAAGGAAGAAGGAAAATGGTTGTTGGTGTTGATGAAGAGAGTTCAACGGAGGCATTCTGACGGTCTAGCCTAATCATGTTGTCGACGGCTCAGCTCTCTCAGGGTCGCCATCACATACTGGCACCTGTCTTGGAATATCTACTGTTTCTTGATGGGCGGTATTCTGTGCCGAGTAGGGGACTGTCTCGTATTGTTCTGTGCGGTCCCACACGGTCGAGCCATCCGTTGTGGTGTCGTTACTTTTGCTTTGATTCGCAAGGCTTTAGTTGACGTGTCTTGCCTCGGGCCAGGTGACTCGAACAGCTACATAACACGATGTGATGACTGGGATGCGAGGGCTGAATATGTCTTGCTACTACGGAGTATGGAGTACTCCGTATACAACCCAGCATAATCCTGAGCCGGGAACACATGCCTTGACGTCTAAAGGCAGGCACTCCTATGCCATCATAATTGCAGATATGTCGTTGTCTGTCAGAAAGCTCTATCCAATTATATACAGTCATCAGCCATATCTGGTTTATCTGTACGTGACAGCAGTATTTTTGGCAATGTCTTTCTCTAACTGGCTGCTAGGTATAGGTCACACTATAACAAGCTGTCAAAGGTGTGGTTCTCATTGACCGGCTATATACGGAGTACGCGGGTCATGAATACGATACATCGAAAAAGACGACGAGGAAAAGAAAGAAGTCCCGCTGATGTATGCAAAGCAATGGCGGGTTAACATGTCATATTCTTGTGCCAAAAAGAATCGATGTTTGTTCCCGTAGCACAAATGCCGGGACATCATGATGACAGTAGATGCTTTCTCACAATGCTGTCGCCGTCGTCATGGGTCTGATTGCAAACTTATTCACAAGTCACGTAAAAATGTGTTTGTTAGAGCGCTTACTGGGGGCCTACAGTGTCAGTATAAAGCCATCGAGGACCATGGCCTCTTCTTCTTGTCTTGCAAAACATCATTCAACCAGACTTTTATTGAACCCACCTTATCCTGATGTTGCTAACGGTATTGCTATATGGTGCTCTGGCCCCTTACCAAAGCAGTAAGGGCCCTAGACCTCCCAAAGTTAAGACTACCATGGGGTACATGGGAAGCCCAGAAGTACAAACCAGATCCAAATGTGGGTGAGAAAATGTTGCCAGTAATGAAACAGGACAAGAGTCTCAGCGTGGTTTTCTGACCCATGAAAGATTTACCTCCTTAAAAGCGTGCGATTCGGTGCCGAACCTCCTCGTTTTCCCTCCCCGTCACCCCCAGACTGGAAGGATGATGCCTTGCAGAGAGACAACCGGAGCATCACTTGCCATCAGATCAAGACTAAGAAATTAAAAGAACCCCGGATGAAACGGCGCATGTAGAAACAGAGGATTGTCTTTTGATTGACCCCTATGTTCCAGTAAAGGCTTTCCTACCCGATGCCGAGCCATTGCCCGTCGTCTTCTAGGTCTACGGAGGCGGCTTTGTCTTTGGCGGCAAGGAGCAAGGCGGCGTAATATATACTGGCCGGCCAATGCTAAGTGCGTCCAACTACACCACCATTTTTGTTGCATGCAACTACCGTCTCGGTTTGTACGGCTAGCTCGCATGCCCTTGCATGGAAAAAGAGGCTACGCCGAATGCTAGATTGTACGACCAGGCTCTGCTATTCGAGTGGGTGCGCGACCATATAGACAAGGTGAAGGGTGATAGAGATAAAGTCAGTGCATGGGGTCTGTATGCAGGCGGCAGCTCCATTTTGCATCATCTCATTAGAGACGACGGCGCTCGTGATCCCCTATTCTAGTCCTTTACCGCTTTCAGTCCCGGCTTCGAGTGTGCGTGGAATAACACGGACGGCGGCAAGCTGGACACGAGATACAAAACATTCTCTAACTTTGTACACTGCGGCTCAGATTGTAGCATCGAAAGTCTTCGGGATGTATCTCCTGAGGCAATGGCAGAAGCTAACCAGAAGCTCTTTGAGCAAATCATGCAAGGAGGGTTATTCCCAGCCGGTCCAGCCGTCGATGGGAAATGGGTCAAGACAATGCCCCCGTCGGCACTTGCCCAAGGCAATCACGCAGCGAGCATGATGAGGACATAAGCCTGCTGATCTGTAATGCAATAGGCTCTTACTGGAAACAAATCGACTCGGCCATTGTTTCCCATATCACCAACCGTTCCTAAAGGTATTGTAGATCAGGCCTCCTTTGACAAGTATTTAGCCGAGTTCCTTCCCGGAGACGCACTGGAACCGCAGAGATCTCTTATAAAAAAGGAATACGACTGTCAAGCCGTATTTCATGGCGACTTTTAATCTTGCGCTGGCGCCGTTATAGAGCACCTCGTCATCACATGCAACACACGGTACTTGGCCGACGCGTACCCCGACAAGACGTGCGCCATGTAATATGCATTCCCGTTGGACCAATTTGCATCCCATGGAGTGGACTTGATCCCACTATTTACCAACGACTTTGAAGAGGCAAAAGCCTTCCTGCTCGCGCTGGATTTGGAAGGCATGACGGGGAAAATGGCAGAAACCTACGCTGGGTGGCTGATGAATGCCGTGACTTTGACATATCAGGGATTCTATGCGTCATTTGACGTGTCGGGAGACCCGAATACGCTTCTCGAATCCGCGCCGTTGAAGTGGTCGCCCATGGATAGCGGCGGTGATGCACACTCGGGCGTTGTGAGGGTGCAGGTGGGAGGCTCACCAGAAGAAGCATTTCATCATGTCGTCAATGAGCATAATACGAGGTCAATCTGTTCGTTTTTGCAGGATATAGCTCGGTTGATTGCTGAGAGTGCTGGCCAACAGGCAAGAGGAGAGCTGTAAAGGGTTGGAATCTGCGATGCAGCTGGTGTTTATGTGATTCGTGCCCGGGGGCAAAGTTTAGCTCTGGTGATATTTTCAGCAGTTGAACACTCAATAGGAACATGTATTAGAGAAGCTCAATATGAAACAAGCCGGTTGAGTATGTAGAGGTGTTACACGGATGACACGTTGCCATGAAGGCACGGGCCGAACCTTGAACCCGACGATAGTTACACAAGGGCTCTGATCACGAGACCTAGGGTAAGGCCCCTCACCGCCTCTTAATATAAATGAAGGCCTTCCGCCCTCAGGGCTTCAAAGAAAACTAAGGACCTTTAATATTAAAGCAAAGTATTAGTTGAATACGAATGTTGTTCTAAGCCCCTAAATACTAGGCCCTTGACACAAGAGGAATCAGATTACAAACGTCTCCCGCTTTTCTGCCCTTGTCTAACGGGTTGATGGATCGAATGTTGAATCCAAAGCTCCGAGATGCGTAGCTTGCCTTGCTGCTGTAAAAAGCCTCTGATACATTTTCTACCTCGCCCCCGCCTTCGTCTGGTGGTAGTTCCTGCTAGATCTTTGATTCCGAGTTTGGTTTGCTGCGCTGGAAAAGACTCGCTCACTTTCTGCTCACATTACTAATATGGAAGAGGTATTTCTTATTGGGTGCGGTTGGCGTGAATATCATATTTGTCTTGCGTTTTCCTACTGGTACCCTAGGGCAGTCTTTGCCTGCCTCAACCACAACACCAGACAGCCATTTGCATTTCCACTTAAACGCCCGCTAATATGGACAAAGGAACAGGCGTCATATGGTTACACAAGGGCTACAGTCACAGAATTAGGGCAGAAGACCCTCACCGACTTCTTATATAAATAGACCTCTTTGGTTCCTCAAGGCTTTGAGGAAAACCAAGGACCTTTGATACCAGAGACTGTTATTTGATGAATTGAGTCATGTTGCTCCAAGCCTTGAGCCCTTGTCACAACACGCAAGCGACACATTGTCCTCCCCATCTCCGGCTAGCAGTGCTCTACCGTTGGTGAACAATGTCCCGCAGCTTGGGCATATCAGGCACGAGTGATACCTGGACAAGTCTCCATCACCTCTCCACGACAGACCATCTCATGCAGGAGGGCTGCAAGTTTTTCAAATCTCGCGGCATTGGCGTTTTCCGAGACTCGGCACGCAAGACAGGGCCGCCTGCTGACATCTGGCGCCATGTCTTGCTCTCTCATCGACCGGAGAGAGACTGGTGAGTCGTGACGGCCAACACGGTGTCGCGCGACGGTTCATCTCGCAACAGCTACACGCCCAACGATACTTTGAGACGACCGTTGCACACGGGCGCAAAGTAGTCGCGAACCTCCATGTCTTCCTCTCTGGTTCCACGCAGGACGGGCCGAAAGTTGGTGAAAAAAGCAGCAAACAGCAAGTAAAGTTCGGCATACGCAAGACTCCCTACTAGTTAGCAAGGTGTTTCTTTACAAGGAAAGCTGTATTCGCCATACTTGATGCCAATGCAAGAGCGCGACCCTCTGGAGAAGGACAACATATATCGGTCCAATTCTCCATTCCGGTCATTCACCCAGCGCTCTGGTCTAAAAGTTTTGGGGTCCGGAAAGATTGTCGGGTCAAAGTGGTACACCCAGTGGCTAAGAGATATAGACGTCTAGTAGAAGATGAAAAATAAAATAAAATGAATTAGTTTCGTAAGCTAACGTGGAAGAAGAATTCGCGCAAGTCTGACCTTTGGTGGGATCTGGCGTCCGCAGAGAAACGCCCCTTCGTCGGGTGTGATGCGCGGCAATTTGCCTGGTGCACCGAGAGAAAACCGCAAGGATTCTTTGATGATGCCGGTCTGGAATTATAATCTAAGTACCATGGAATACAACTTGCCGGCAGGTATACACGTACAAGGTATGGCAATCGTCGCAGCGTATCCAGGGGAGGAAGTTTGCGCTTGTCAGGAATAGCATGGGAAAGTTCGTCTTGCAGCGTCTCCAGTACGTGGCGGTTATGCAAAGCATAAAATGTTCCGAGTGTCAGGGTCAACGAAGGGGCTGTATTCCCGGCGGACAACAGCACAGCGGCTTCCGATACTAGATCGCTCATCGGAAGGGGAGGTCCGAATTTCTCTTGGTCGGGATCCATCAACATGTCGAGCATTGTTGGATAGAGCAGCTGGTCGTCTAGCTTCCTCTGTTTGAGGTCCAATATCAATTTTTCGCAATGCTAAGCACACGGGAACATGAGCACAAGTCGTACAAGTGCAAAGGCAAAGCGAAAATGTCTCACGTCTTGAATATCAAAAATAAAGCTGATTCCTAAATACTTCAACAAGGAGCGCGGCAGGCAAGAGGCGAGGTTCCATGCGAGTGTGAAGAGGAGAGGAAAGTTTTTGGCGAAGAACGATGTCATCAGTGCTGCATCCATGTGCACGGCTGGAGGATAGTTGAAACGTGGATAGTCGAGAGCCTCGAAGGGGCTGTGGAATGCATATCCAAGCAACACGTCGGACGTGACGCAGCGATAGGCCAGAGACAAGTCGATAATCTCGTCGTGGCTTCTGTGCCGGTCTAGGAGGTCAATGAACCTCCACACAGACTTTTCCATGACGTGCTGAGCATTGTCAATGGCGCCCTTGGATAGTCGGGGTTGGAGCAGGTCTCGACGAGGTCTTGCCTGCTTCAACGTGGCCATGGTGAAGTGGGAACCGTCAAAGGGGAAACCGTAAAACCTGGCGTCTTTTTCAAAGCGACTTCCGACTTTGAAGACGGTGCTATAGGCCTTGATATCTCGGATGTGAAGCTCGTTGGGCTCTGTCCTTACTATCGGTCCTGTGTAGACCTTTGATTGGCATAATTACAACAGACGCTTGGGCTTTAAATGCCCTTAGTACTTACCGTACTCATCGTGTAGATATTCCAGATGCCTTATAAAGTTGCCGCCTTGGACGAAATTAAAATAATGTGAATACAAGGAGGTGGATGCAGCTAGTTTCGGGCCGGGGAATCGTGAAAGGGGGTGGAACCATATCCTGTATATCGTGAGAGGGATCCAGTAGACGAGAACCAGGGCAGGTAGCAAGGCTATAGCTGAGAATCTAGGGACGAAGAAATCCATCACTTGAGACGTGAGTGTTTAGACCATGAGTGTGACAAGGGCTTATGTTTAGGGGCTTGGAGCAGTATTCGATACTCAGCTAATACCTCGCTTTGACATCAAGGGTCCTCGGTTTTCCTAAAGGCCACGAGGAGCAGATGACCCTTATATATCGAACCCAGGTGAAAGGGCCGGCATAGGTGCCCAAGGCCTCCACTATGTCTCGAAACCTTGTGTAACCATCGCCGTGTCTGGTTTAAGGTGCGGAGTACGGAGCATACTCCGTACGGCCCGCGCCTTTATGGCGACGTGACATCCATGTAACCGCCACATGGTTACACAAGGGATACGGTCACGACACCTAGGGCAAAGTCCCTCACCGGCTTCTTGTAGTTAAAGCCCCCTTTAGTCAACGAGGCCTTAAGGAAAACCAAGGACGTTTGATAGCAAAGACTGTTATTAGATGAATTGAGTTATTGCTCCAAGCCTAAGCCCTTGTCACAGCAACAACGAGCATGAAAATTTGGGGAAACAGGTTGCGCGAATAGCAGCGGAGGGTTTGTGGGCATTTGTTTTATACTTATTGGAGGAACGGATTTATCCTTGGCCACCCGTTCAAGCCCCTCGACGCCACGTTGCAGCATTTCGCTGCCCAACGAAGCCCCGTCACAACAAAGGCCTTCATACGGGTTACACAAAGAGATGGTCACACGACCCATTGTTACTACCACTGTGACAAGGGCAGTGTAGCTGGGCTTGGAACGTAGGTTCGAGTATCAATCAAATAATCGATTTTGAGGTATCAAAGGTCCTTGATTTTCCAAGAGGTCTTGAGGGGCCAGAGGTCTCTATAAGTACAAGAAATCGGTGGACTAGCGCCTGAGGCAGCCCTCGCTCAAGGTACGACTCCGGTTCTCGTGATATCCTTCTTTGTTGTGTAACCTTTAATGTGACAAGGGCTCGTTATGAGGGCTTAAAGCAATAGCTTAATTCAGCTAGTAAAAGTCTTTGGTATCAAAGGTCCTTGGTTTTCCTTAAGGTCTTGTCAACGGGAAAATACAGGACATCTACAACCAAGAGGTATATAAGGATAACTATAGCAGGCACTTGTGGAATTCCCTTTTGTCTGGTGTGGTCAACCCGTGATAGGTCTTGAGGGACTAAAGGTGTCTATAAATACAAGAAGTTAGTGAGGGACTTTGCCCTAGGTCTCGTGGCCGTAGTGTAACAAGCCATTTCCGTATAACATTTAACGTCCAATGCCTTTGTCCAGGCCCAGACAGTGTGAGAACCCCTCACGTTATCGACTCTCTGTATAAACGGGGCCTTTGATGATCTCAGAAACAGCTATAGATCAAATGTTACAGTCCCCTGTTGTTCAGTCACCCAGCCCTTGGTACGGTCGAGATGGAGCACCACCAACTATCCTTTTCTCTTGGCAAGAGATGAGTCAAGAACGCGACTGGCCGCATTTTTCTAGAGGTAGTTGCATGTCCATTACTCTACGACGTCTTCCAAGACCGTTGCTCCATGAGTCAGGTACTATGTGGTGATGAGCACACAAAATTCCATCCAAATATCCAATGACCCTGAAACGGAGGGGGTCTTTACGTACTCATCCTGTAGATATTCCTGTTGAGTCAAACGTGCGATAATTCAAGGTCCGATGGTCATGATATTTGCTTTTTCCAGGGCTGAAGAGTAGGGCTAGGACGAGGGTCATCACACGCGGCTTTGGGTGCTTCAGCAGGGTGTAAAAAGGACCAGTTGAAAAATTCAAGTTAATAATAGTAATTCAAGGCCCTTTAAACCAATTATAAGCTGATTTAAACTACATGAAGCTTGTAATTGCGGTGGCGCAGCACTCCGAAAGACCAGACTCATGAAAGAAGCAAAGTCAAAAGGCACATTCTTTCTTCTTTCCGCTTTGCTTAATATTGATCACACGGCCCGCTTACGATACTACCCTTCACGTTCCCGACTCTCTGTAAACAGGGCCGAGGCCGAATTCCATCGGCTCCCGCATGGAGGGTCTCGGGGACTCCCGAGATCTCTGAGAGTCGAGACGCAATACTTGTCGCTAATCTCATGGGTATTGCAGCAAACCGGCATTGGGACTAGGCATATGAGCTGATGTAGGAGACATGATGGAGACAATACCTAATGTAATAGGATGCAGCGTCGCATATATTGGCAATGCTTTTCAGAGTCAGCCCCGTCTAGACTCTAGAGTCTATACTGGTCTTGGGTTCGGGGAAGCAAAGTCGGGGGCTCGAACAAGACGGATTGGGCTTCAAGACGCACGTACGAACAGTTGGCGTAGCGTGTGTATCTCTGTAATTCTCACTATATAATAAACACTTGTCAGGTGTGTTGCGAAACGGTCCATAAGTCAGTAACGAGCATATACAATCCCATCCAAATAGTCAACGGAAGCGCTCTACCGATACCATCAAGATGAAGTCCAATATTAAGAGCAGCATCTGCGGCAATCTATTACATACCTTTTACATGACGCACGGCCACTGCATCGAAGCCGCTCCGCGCACACGCACGCATAGATGCCCTCATTGCCGTACGATGAAGACGTCATGCGGAGAGACATGGGAGCGCATCACGACTGCAATTCGACTTTCCAGAAAAGATGGCAGCATGCCCGAGACTGTCTTGAGCTTTGCCACCGCGCTGGACCTCATCATACACCTCTACAGCCGCGCACAAGACGCCTGTGCCGCCGTCGATGGCGTGACGATGGCCACGGACCGTTGTTTTGGCGGGCTGCAGAGGCAGTTGAAATCGTTTATACGGCTAGACGGGAGCAACACGGTGCAGCTTCTTCTGCACGGAGCCATGGGCGACATGGGCTACGAGTCCGGCAGCCAGAACCAGCTGGATCCAACGGTCGTAGAGCTGTATACTTCGTTGTTGGCGGCGCTCATCCAGAGCCACGGCCCGGACTTGCGTCTGAAGACACCGCTCCTGCGCAGCGCCGCTAGCCTGCGCGTCTCGGGCGAGGTGACCATCGCCATGGTCCTATACGCAAGCTGCTGGTTCTTCGAGTACGACCCGTCCTCCACCCCCCTGGTTGTCAAGGTGTGGTGCGCATGGCTGCCGTCGCGGCAGTCGGACGAGCAGGAAGCCTACGTGAACCCCGAGGAGCACATGTACGTCGGCGTCGGGCCGCACGACGCGCGGGACGAGCTGCAGAGGCACAACGGCCGCGGCGTGGTCAACTTTGCGCTCCGGAGCATGGTGCCCCGGGCTCGCCACGAGGGAGCCTGGGACGTGGTTGCTTTCCGCGACGTCATGGCGTTCCGGAGCGGGATGCTGGTGACGGACTGCCTGTCGCGGGACAACCGCGATCTCGGGGCCTTTGTCCAGGTCATCGCGCAGTTTCCGGCGCTGCTGGACCCTTCCGAGGCCGGGGACGTATGGTCCGGCCACCCAATCGTCCACCTCGGGCGCGCCGCCCTGTTTATACGCCAGATCAAGCACCTCGTTGTCTGTTCGGGACGCCCCCGCAACATGAGCATCATATTTAGCTTGCTGTATGCGCTGTCGAGCCCTCGGCAAAACAAGCACATACGGGGCTTGGTGTCTCCGAGTCCGTCGCAGTCGGTGGCCTGCTGCCCTGCCCCCTTTTGCGGCGCCGATGCGTTGCCCTGTGACTTGGACAGGCCCTTGCCCGTCCACGAGGGTGGCGCCTCGACAAATCCGGTGCGGCTGCTGGTCGCGTCGATTGTTCAAGAGGGGCTGGATGCCGAGGCGTGGCAGAAAAACATCGATCGTCGCCTGCGGCTCTGCCATGAGTGGTCTCGTGGGATGCATGGCCATTTGGGCCCATATGATCCTGTCAGCGCTGCCAGGTCCGTGGCGCCGACATGTATACGGATCCTCATGCGCATAGCTCAGCTATGTGGTTGCGACATGACGTCTGGCATGGGCGGCCGTGCCGAGGGTTTGTAAAGGTATAAGTGTGTGTGGCTACGTGGGCTCTAATACACAGCTACGTGTGTAGTAATGCGGCCGCGTCTGGCGTAGTGGATAAGTAGCCAACTTTAAGAGTTGTCGGGCTAGTATTTATTATGTTAGTTACAAGGCAATATAAACCCGTTAATTTAGCAACTTGACAACGAGTTGCGGCACTTGACGACTTGGACACCTTGCTCTGCTACGAGACTTTGTATTCGGGATCCTTTATGCTGAAAACTCATGGTGTGGCATATGTGTAGATCGATGCGTATGTAAAGCGGTCAGAGTCTCATTGGTTTCAAATATTACGTAAATAGCTAAAGTCACAGGAGCTAATGCGATATATCTGTCAGATGTTATGTCAGAGATGGGCATGAAAAATAACCACATCTCCACCATAGAAGACAAAAAAGCAAAAGGGTCCCAGAATCTACTTCACTAGCTAGTGGAGGAAATTAATTAAAAATAAATGCTACAGATCTTCTCAACATTTTCTCTTTGGCATGAAAACGTAGCAGCGTAACGTAGCTGCCATGTCTGGCCGCTTCTATGCATACAGAACCCAGGGAATATGCTGATACCTCACTTGATAATAGCTCATCTTATCGCATAAAGAGGAGAAATTTTAGCCTTTTCTTAGTTAACTTAATTGCTTCTTCGCACCTACAAGGGCGCGGGGTGAGGTCATTCAAGCTGATGACTAGTCACGTGCGAGCTGCGCCAATGGCTCCAGACGCGAACGCTGCACGTGTTTCGTTGGGCGACTTCACCTCGCCATGTATTGCGCAAGACGAGGAAAATGGACAAGTACCTTCATCTCACGTACCCAAAACTAAACCTCAACGACCACACACTAGATGATAACCTGCCTCCCTTGCAAGTTCAACCTCATAATAACTGCCTCGACCCACCGCCTACTGCAAGCCTCGGTGCCCTTGACCGTCTCCCAATAGAATTACTTCAGGAGATTCTCATCCAACTTGACTTGAGCACTTTCATGGCGTTTCGATGCACCAATAGACGAGCTAAAGAGTTGGCCGACCATCTTCCACAATACAAGGCCATTACCACCAACGCAAGGAATGCGCTACGTGGTATCCTGAGAATTGGAACGAGCAGGTGGATTACCTGTAAAAGTCTCTTCGAGAAGTTACGCACATCAGCTTGCGAACAATGTGGCGATTTCGGCGGTTACCTCTATATTCTCACCTGCAGACGGGTTTGCTTCCTCTGTTTTTCACAGGACAAGAGATACTTACCACTGCGGCCCGGCCAGGCGTGCCGGAAATTTGGATTGGAGAGAGGCATCATTCAAACACTGCCTTGCATGAGGGTCATACCTGGTATATACTCGCCAAACGAGATGAAGGCTACTGAGACTACCTTGGTTGACTATGAGTCTGCTTTTGATGCTGGCATCGCCCGGCATGGATCGTCGGGCGCCATGGATGAATTCGTGGCAGGTGTCGCGGCAAGGAAACTCCAAGCCCATAGAATGAGGGTGCTACAAGCACAACAGTCCGGATCTTCACGTCGCACGCGGATGCCTCCGGTGGCAGATCCCGTCGATTTAAAATCGGCAAATCCGCTTCGATTCGTGGCGATTGTTCGCGTGCCGTGGCTGAACAGAACATCGCAGGATAAGGTGGAATGGGGCTTTTATTGTGTTGGCTGTGGGAGGTCCAGTGACCTTCCCCTTCATTGGAGGCGGCAATTCACGCCAGAATCTTTTGATCAGCACATACTACAATGTGGGGATATAATTGATGGAAATCATCAGGCATCCTAAATCTAAAAGGAAGCAGAAGAAACACACATGAACGGAACGAGGTGGAGTGATGCTGGGAAGCACTAGCGAAATTCTTCATACTTCTTAACCACACGCGTACATGCGATATCCCCCCGATTGCCCTTTACACGGCCCGGCCAGGCTGACTTGAGCGCTGCTGCATTTCACCCGTGCCATAAGAATAGATCCAACATTGAGCGGATTGATGCTTGTCAGACTCTAATGCGGGGCAACTTGGTAGTAGGCGGCAACATTGATGAGTCTACAGATGTGCTGTGCCAGAAGAGATCAATGCACTTCCTACTGACCAATCAATCCACCAGCCTGATATCAGTTGACCATTGACCACTTCCTGACCAAACCAGACTCTTCTGCAATCAGTTCACTACCGTCAAACACATCAAGAGAGCACACTGCCAACGATGGCTGGCAGCCCCCCCAAACTCCAACTGCTTCAAGCAAGCGTTGATCCCGATGACGAAAGCGAATTCCGTCTTCTCGTCAACAACAGTCTGGTCAAATACATCACCATTGATGCCGGCATATTTAGCCAAGATGACATGTGCTTCGAGCCTTCTCTCGTCTCCCTGCTTCCACCTCTTCCACCCGGGGATTGGAACCAAGGCCGAATCTCGCGCGATCCCGAGACGGGGGCTCCTCACTTTTCCGCCATCTCCAACACAAACCTCCCCGGAATCACCAAGACCTGGCATCCCACTCAAATCGACCACCTAGAGTTTCGCATGGGACGAAAACTCCGCTCCAACGTCTACGAGGCTACGTGTCCCCGCTTCAAGTCACCCGTTGTCACCAAGTTCGCCCGATTCCCATGGGAGGTGCCTCTGCTGGAAGCCGAGACCGCAGCTTATCAATGGATAGAGGGCTGCCAGATTGGCCCGGATTTTCTTGGACACCTGACCGAGCAAGGCAGGGTTATTGGGTTTGTCATGGCCCGCGTCGCTGACTGTCGTCATGCCACACCGGAAGATTATACTCTGTGTTATCGGGCTTTATCAAAACTTCACCAGTTAGGCATTAAACATGGGGATACTAACAAGCACAACTTTCTCATTCACCAAGGGAAGGCGACTCTCATCGATTTTGACAACGCTTCACGGGAAAATAAGGCCCAAGAGCTAGAAACGGAGCTTGGCGGGCTGCGGAACCAGTTGTCGGATATGTCTGGAAGGGGGGGTCAAGTTGTTGAAACTAGTTTCATAGAATCTACCGATTTAGACACGAGGGAATAATCACTCCTTGAGTGTCAGTGGCATATATTAAACCCGATGAAGTTGAAGCATCAAATATGAAGTCATTAAAACGGTAAATCGGCTTGTTACAATCCTTCCGAACCAGAATATTGAGCCAAGATGCCTCAACCGGTTTTCTAGAAAGAATCTAATACAAGCCACCCCCTCAAAACTACCATATATACGGAGGAGATGCTTCGCCTAAAGTTGGACTTGAGTAAATAAAGCGGCCAATCCCCTGATTTAGTATGCCGCCGTAAAATCCCTTGAAATACCCTCACTTCACCTCAGATGCTATGCAGCAAACATCTAGTCGCGAGCGTACGGCTCAAAGCTCAACTCGCCTATGTTGTCCTTGGGTCTGTACCCCTTTTCTTCGGTTAGACAATTGCACGGCATTTATATGTGAGATATATAGTGGCTCAGCTTCTCACGCATGAACGTGTTAAACGGGACGGATAAATGAAAAAACAAACGGGAAAGAGTATACATCTAAAATTAACGCTGATTTTAATAATTTTTAAAAGTCGGTTGCTAAAAAACGTAGCCAATATTCTTTCCGTATTGAAGTGCAGATAATATTAATAACAACAACTATACACGACCACTGCTAGGTAATTTTTAGAGTTATGTATTAAATATTCTTCTCTACAGTCGGTAAGCATTCCTGATAAAGTCGCTGGGTGTTAGTAGGTTGAGCTGTAATTCGCCCTTTTTAATATTACCCGGTCTTATTATCATACGAAGTTTTATACGAATACATCCTTCAAGTCTATCGGGAGTTCAGTGCCCGCACAGCATGTAACTCTACCCGATAGATATCGTAGAGAACACCACTTTATATAGCTACATTGAGTAGGCGTACCATTGATACCTTTATGGACGTCGTACAAGCTTTCTTCTGAAGGGACCTGAGCAAATACTCTCTACTCTCTTCTTCTCGCACCCCTGATACACGGATCATATTCCACCTTGGTGAACGCCTATTTACTACGACCACACAGATGCTTGTTATGAAGAGCCCATGATTTTATGCCAGTTCTCTGAACAACGGGATATCTCTCTAAGGGCTGATTGGTGTTAATTTAAACACATTTTAATTAAAAATGTACCCCGTCTTCTTCGTAATTCGATATTATAGTATAGAGCGGTTAACATGGGTCAACCTAGGAGGAGAAACTTTCCCTTTATCATAAAATAACATGAATACTTTCTGTATTTCGAAGAACAGTTATGCATATAATACCAGAATAATAACCGCGCAACGCGGCAGTAATCCATAATAGTTGTACCAATTCCCTTCAGCATTCTACTACTGTGTACTTGCTTGTATGCTTCCCTTTTTTGTGGGGATAACAGTCAAATCTGTGGGCCGTTCAGTATCGTTAATAAAGTTGTGCTTGGCCGAAATACCACGCTGGGCATTCGGCGAATAAAGTCTTCCAATATGGGAGGGGTAGACGGCGAGACAACTGGCTTGAAGCTTGAATTGTGGCCCTGCAACTGAGAAGGCCATGTAAGCATTTGGCTCAGGATCCAAGAAATATACCTTGAGTATCTATCGTAAACACTTTCCCGGGAGTAGTCCGGTGTATTCCGGCCCGCAATTTCCCCGAGGAATTTGCATCTGGTAATGCTAGCCCGTGAAGAATAAGTCGACTCTGGGGTAAACCACCCCATCTTGATAGAAGATGCCGCTGGGAGCAGAACGCACCTGCACGACTGTAGTATCGCCTTCAAGCCATCTGGAACCCTTCAAATGTTGTTTATCGTGGGTCAGATAATCCCAGTTGCCGAACTATAACTGCCACTAATTTATTATTCATTTATTTTTAGTCTACATATTAAAGAATTATAAAAGGTTTGCGACTTGTTCGCAGGAATGTCATGGAAAGGAATAGAGCATTACAGTGCAAGCACCCTCTAAGAGCAAACGTGGAGGCAAATTAAATATGAGCATGCGTCATGTCTGGAACCCAGCCCACCAACTAGTTTTCGAGAAGTTTAATTATTATCTTAGTAGCACAAGGGCAATTGGTAGTATTTTGCGGAGTTGGTAACACGGCGGAGCCTAGATCGTCAAGTAAACTTCCTACTGCGATATCTCGGCGGTGATATTCACATCCAATGGCACAATTGATAGCACTTTGGCACACCTGTATCACTTTAAAATGTTGTATTATGCAAGGTCCGCCCACCGGCGTAAGGCAAAGGGGACAGGCAGCATAGTGCGACCAAGAGCTAGCAGGAACAAACAGAACTATGGCAACTTGCTATACTTTCAAGATATTTTTGTTGTAGATAAATAAGGTTCGACTGCTACTATAAAAGCTTTTGCCAGCATATCTTACAGAAAATATAATTTATAGTAGATTTATCAGTAGTAATAATATTAAACTTAAATTCTTTCCTTATTAATCGAACCCCGTTTTGCGGATATCCTATAAAGCTTGCTTGGGCCAACTTAAAATTATAGAATCATCTACTTCTGCCCCCAAGGCCATAGTCTTGCTGTTTTAACCGGCAGGCAATTTGTCTAGTAATTTCAATATTGCATTGAATCAAGTCTTGCAAGTCGTTCGACTATATATTGCAGGTCCGTCCCTAAACTATCTATTAGCAGTTTTTCCTTGTTAATTATTTATTTTCCTTCAGATATAAAATAAGTTGAATAAATACCAATAAATAGCCCGCAATGAAACACACCATCGCATTCACGATTCTTGGGTACGCATATATCGTCTTCACATGTAATGGACTTTATGCTAACACTGTCAGTCTTTCGATCTCTGGTTTGTATTTCAAGATCCTGTATATCCGTAAGCTAACCAGGCGACTAGGAGCGCTAGGCGGTTATCCAGGAAATCCTTGCGAAAGGCTAGGGTTGAGCTGCGACCCGATCGTGCCTGATTTCTGTGATGGCGAGGCTGACGCGACGGTTGATTTGCCCTGTGGCCCGAAGAAATGGGTCGGTGTAGGATGCTGTTGGCATGGCCCGCCACGAAATTAGCACGCTGATGGACATTAATGGTTAAACTGTTTAGCCTTTGTATGGAGTTCTCCCCTGGAGTTTAAGCTCGGCCGGTAGACAGTTCAAACATTCGTTTTGTGAGGAAGGTAGACTTGGATTCTTGTATCGAGTCTTAATTCAACTGATAAACTCCGTGTTTGAGGCCCGTTTACTGCACTCGTTATATATGTAGACCAGTCCACCACGGAAAGACATGGGCTACAACTCATTCTTGCCTAATAGCGTCTTCCGTCCTATTTCTCCAAGGGTTGATCATCACTTGGTTCCTGATATATGTCTCTAGGCTTTGCCCCCTCTAGGTCTTCTCTTCACCTTGTTCGACTTGTTAATAGCCTCTTATCGTCCTTCTCTGAGGCATTTTAGGTTGACACTCCATGAGGACACGTGAAAAGCAGTTCCGCCATCTCCTTATCTAGCTGCACAGCAGAGTCTGCCGTTTTAACATCACTGGGATCCTCCACCCTAGTGTTGTCGCTCTGGAACGGAATTGGTTGAGAACTGTTTGAGCCAGTCACATATGAGTCGTCCTGTGCCCGCCCTTCAGGGACGTCTATTGGAGAGTCGAGGTGGTAGA